TATGGCTTTGTTCATAGTTAATATTGTTAAGAGTTGGCTTTTTCTTTTTTATTATTAGAGCTTCCATTATTTTTAGTCTTTTTTTGCAAGTGGATGCAGTTAATATATTTGTGTTTTCTACTAGTATGTTCCTAATAATGTCGGGTAAATCACTACCACACACTGAACATTCACAGAATGCACACACTCAACTAAGCTGATAATCGAATCATCCTTGATAATGGCTAAAGGTATAGCCGAAAGCGCTCGGAAATACAAAACATTCGGACAGTTCTTACACACCCTTTGTCCAGAAAAGAAAGCTCTTGTCAGAACACAAGAAAAAATTAAATAAAAAGCTCAACCGTAGTACCTTGTCTGTCGTTTTTAATGAAACATGCATATATATATATATATATATATATATATATATATATATATATATATACACACACACACACATATATATATATATATATATATATATATATATATATATATATTACCAACTATACATTTTATAGGAAAATGACCAACAATACATTTTATAACAAAATGACCAACAATACATTTTATCTGTAGTTGAAGGCATACAATTGCGTTCAAAATATATTCAGTTGAAGTCATAGAATTGTGTTCAAAATATTTAGTTTCCGGCATTAAATAACTCATAGATGTTGATATGCTGCTAATCAAAACCAACCAACCAACATTGAAAGAACTCTTTCATGACATTAATCCATATAATATCCTACAATTTCTTAAAGAAATCAAACCTTATTCCAAAATATAACTTCAACAAAACTACAACATAAAATACACACATCACCGCCTCTAGAAATTATGTCCACACAAACATGTATATGCACAAAAGCTGAGTGTCCTCTACCATGTATTCAACTGTGGAAGCAGAATAACATATCATATTCTTATTGCATGAAAGCTATCGAGAAAATTAAATTTTGGCATTAAATGGCTCATAAGGAGTTGACATGCCGGTAAACAATCAAGAGTGGTATAGTGCATAGTTCAGACATATTTCATTCTTTTCGACCTTGTTGTGTTGTAAATATAAGTGTTGTCACTACGAGACAGAATATCCCAAGATGTTTGCGACCAATTAGAGATGCCAATATCAACCAACTAGAAAAATTTAACTATCTGGGAAGCGTTTCAACAGACGACGGAAAACGTGACACCGAAATCCGAAGGCGCTTTGGAATAATGAAAGATGCCTTCCAAAGGATAAACTAACTATAAAGTAACAGAACAAAATTTCGTTAGAAACAAAGAAAGTTGGGGGGGGGTGAAATATTATGTAATATCAATCTTACCCTATAGCTGTGAATGCTGGATAACTTCTCAGATTAAGAAGAGACTTGAGGTAACATAGATGTGGTTTTAGAAAAGGACACTATGAATGGGACGTAAAAAGTTTAAGAAAAATGGAAACAAAACGACGTTTCTAGCTAGAATCAGAAAGAGACAGTAGACATTACTGAGGCACATAAAGAGGAAAGCGGGCTTGGAGAATTTGACACACTGAAGACAAGAGAAGAAGTAAAGTACCCAAAACGCTGGTATAAATGGATGGCAGAACAAGGTCTGTGAGGGCTAGTAAAGAGACAAACATTTCTTAGAGCTACGAAGGGAGGAAGTTGTGGAGAGCCATAATCGCCCATATTCTGAAGAGACGCGGCACATAAAAAGTCATTGATAGATTTTGGAATAGATGTATCTGCTCAGTTTTGTATTCTAACGTAAACAAAACAATTTGTAAAGAAAGGAATGAACTTTTTATTTAATAACCCGACAGATGTTTATTACTTAAACGTTATTTTTAGTGGATACTCGTATTTGACTAGACGTTCCCTTTATTTATTAAACAGTGTATTAATTTGTTTTCGTCTGTCGGCCTGAATATTCGAGAAAACTTATTAAAGAAAAATATGCGCTTTCCGGTGTGTGTGTGGGGGGGAATACCCGTTTCTTTACAAATTGCTTTGTTTACGTTACTATATGAAACTGAGCAGACATGTTTGTTTCAAGTGTCAGAGAGAAATGTGTTTACAAATTACTATTTCTGCATCGTAACCTTCTTTTAATCAGTTCTATCGTGATAATGTATTTCAAAGCAAAATGAGGATAAAACTAGTCGTATAAATTTACATAATTATATATAGAGCTGATAGAGATCGCATTTTGCACATAGAATTCTCGTTTGGGCGCCTGCCGTAGAGCAGTTTTTGTGCCTGTCCAGCCGTGATACAATGCCCTTTTCCCACAGACGAAACGTTGAAGCCACTCGTTACTCTATCGCTATTTCCATAGCAAATGTTCTGGCGAGCTACATACAATTCCTTAGTTTCACCAGTTCAGACCATCACATCTAAGACCCGCCATGCCACGTACACTGGGACGAGTCGTCCTCATTTCCCCTGTATTTCATTAATAAGAAAGAAGTTCTATTTAGGCTTTTTCTTCCCAAGAACCGCTACTTTGTGGGATATGCTCCCTACTGGATGCTCCCTCGTTGTAATCTTACCCTTTTCAAATCTAGCGTCAACCGTTATCTTGCCTACGTATCCTCATAATTCTCATTACTCACCTCCTCTTAGTTTCATGAAACAATTTCATTCATTAAGCTTCTACCTTGAGTGACTCTTGTGGCTTGTATTGTGTGATCAATTAGTTAAAAAAAAAGTGTTACACTCATAACAGTGTTAGTGTAGAGAATTCGGTTCTCACCGGTTGCTTTACTGTTGTAATCATGGACTAAACCAAACTTTATAATTATCTCCAGCTGTCGAGGGACCCTTTTCTTTGTATTTCTTTTGGTTGTTCCTTATCTTTCAATATCAAATATACCACACAACCCGAAAGCACACACACACACACACACACACACACACACACACACACAAAAAAAAAAAAAAAAAAAATCAGCTAAAGTTTTCTGCGTCCAGTCTTTCTGCTTTGTCAAATAGGATAGCAATTTGTCATATTCTAGACATTTGTTGACATCTTGGAAGACATCAAGAGAGAAGACCAAACGATTTTCGCAGTATGTTTACTCAGTTACGCCATTAACCACTTATCAGTCTAAGTTTTCATTTTATAGATGCTTTGCAATTCTGTCTGCCATTTCTTTGTCTCCTTTATATCATTATACTCTCTTCTCTATTCTTTATTCACACATATCCTCCTGTTTAAAATAAACAAAGAAATTTCCCAGCATTTATTTTATGAGGACGACGTAAAGAAATATACAGGCGCACCACTGAATTTCCGGACACCAGGTTCCGGACACCTCTTTTATTCCGGACAAAATTACGAGCAACCATTTGAATTTTTACACAATTATCAGACTAATTCACGGGGCGCCCACAGATATTGACGTGCGTACTTCCTATCCTTTTATGTGCGTGTCCTTTTAAAAAGTGAGAGATCATGGCACTCCACAGCTTCCTATCCTTCTAAATAATATTTGTCTCCTCACTATCCCCTCACTACGTGTTTTGCCAACAATTTGCACAAACTAGTTAGATAGGTTTGTCGCTGTTTCCTCTACTCTTCTTGCTTTCAATATGCACTGTGTGTGGCAAATTCTCCAAGCCTTCTTTCTTCATTATGCGTCCTAGAAATTTCAACTCTCTCCCCACCTCTCTCTCTCTCTCTGATTCTAAGTACCAGTGTCCTTTTTGTTTCCATTTTTCCTTAAAACCTCCTCGTGTTCCGTCTATAGTATTCTCAACACCCTTCCTTTCGAACACGTCTCTATTGCCTCAAGTCTCATTTTCAGTTGTGAAGAAATTATCTAGCATCCTCTGCCATCGATAATTGTGAACAGATACGAGTGATGTATGGATCAGAAGTGTGTTATTGAGTTAATATTACTTGACTTCTGTTGGTCAGCCAATACGGATAATGGAATCAAGAATACCGGAAAATAGATTTTTTTTTCTTTTAATCAATTCACCCCAAGCAAGGCGATAATGCCACTAAGACGTAGGGGGTTACTTGGAGTAAAAGAAACTGCAAAGACTTTAGAAGGAACCGGACACCAAAGAACAAGTATAAATCTTTACTCCTGTTCAAAAACTGTTGAGTAATGAACCGGTTGATTGGCGAACCTATCACAGAAATAGCGAAGATGCCTTCAAGAAACTGAGCAAAATATTAAGAGACAGGAAAATATCATTAGAAGCAAATAAAATAGTGCTGAACAGTCCCGTGACACCTAATCTCCTCTATGGAAATGAATGCTGGACAATTTCCTCGTAGATGAAGAAGAGATTTGAAGCTAAAGAGATATGATCGTACAGACGGTTTTACTGTTGGATTCGTCTGTTTTGAATTTCACAAACTATTCACAACACGGACTGCTTCGAACTGCATCATAGGTCTTCATCAGTTATCTTCGCTTCGGATATGGTCTTGCCCAACTTGAAACAAATTGCACTGTCGCACGTCCACCTTGTCAGCCGCCCTTTTTCTGCTCTCAACACAAATACACTTTCTGTCCCCTCACTTCCCAGATATTTAAATTTTTGTACTTGTTTGATTTTGGTATCACTTGTAACCTAGGAAGGGTTACTGAACGAGGAATAGCCAAAACAGAGGTTAGAAATGAAATGGTAATCTTTATAACATCAACAAAATAAAATTGCCAGAGGCGTGAAGTAGGTAAACCACTGCCAGTGGTGGACTACTTAGACAGCATATCAACCCCCACTTACAATAGTGTTCAACATGTTTATGAGGAATGGGACATGCCCATTATAGTATATTATATATTGTATATTATACCATAATATAGTATTCATAGGTACCGTATATAACAGTATCTACGATTTGTAATTTGCATTTTGGACTCATCCTTTTACTAACAACCATGCATTCTATCTTTCATTTGATGTTTAATCATTTCTTGCTTTGCTTCAATACCTTCTCTAGGAGTTTTTAACGCAGTACAGGATCCAAAACGTAGAAGCGATAACAGCGTGCCACACAGGAAACACATGCCTGGAAAATCGGGCGGGGAAAGTGCACAGAATGACGATTTCTGGAAGGATTCGGATGGAAAACGACGCGAAGTGATTATTGCAGAATCCCGGAAAAACGGAACGATTTTATCATCTGATATCAACCATCAAGAGAGCAGATTTTCGCTTCATCAGCGTCGTCCGTACCATTTGTTAAGATCCAAACGAGATTTAAGCGACAATGTCTACCTGCACAGATCAAGTAAGTCATTTTCATTATACTTATCAAAAGAATAGTTTATTTTAAAGTCCCAAAAAGAAATTTATAAAAGCGGACAAATCTTTCCTCATCGAATAATAAAATCTTTTAACTTAACCGGATACACGAGATTTAAAATTTAAATGTTTTAAGTTTGATCAAGGAGTTGTCCATTTCTTTGCTTGTAAAACTTTATTACATAAATCATTTTCGTTGTAAATTTTATAATAGTTTGTTTTAACTCGTTAATATAATATATATATATATATTTATATATATATATATATATATATATATATATGTACACACACACATATATATATATATATACACACACACACACACACACACACACACACATATATATATATATATATATATATATATATATATATGAATGATGAATATTTATGAAGTATCTCAAATAATGAAATTCTTTCTTTTGTATATAAACACGTGCAACAAAATAAACTCTATATTGTCTTGATAAAGTCCTTCAGATGACGAAACGCGTCGGCTAATAATCATTTTTTAAATTAATTCTGATACACTCTATCTAAAAGTAATATATATATATATATATATATATATATATATATATAGTAACCACATTTCAGGGGACAAGGTAATCCGTAATAAGCTAAGAACAAAAACAACAGGATTTTCCCAACCATGTAACAACAAAAGAAGTTTATGCTGCAACCATATTAAACACACATTCATTCACTAGCTCAATCACTAAATCTACTTTCAAAATCTACCACGATTCTAACTGTAGAAGTCATAACATAATTTACCTCCTAGAATCCACACTATGCCAGAAACAATATGTAGGAAAATCTGAAGTCGACTCCCCATGAAAATTTGACCAACACAAGGAATGTTAAAAGATTCATGTTAAAAAGATAAAAAATAAAAAAACAAATGAAAACTACTGACAAAAGTTCATTTTCTCCATCAAGACATTCATTTCTGTAGTTTACTGCTACCAGCAAGCAGAAATATTTCTTCTCCCGATGATGGCCATTTTGGCCGAAACTAGCCGAGGAATCTAAATGAAATAATAATAAAAAAAACGAAAGAATATTAATCTACAACCCAGTGTGTCTGAAGATTTTAATTTTTAAATATTTTTATTGCTCAAAATGTATATATATATATATATATATATATATATATATATATATATATATATATATATGGTGTGTCAAAATATACTTTTGTAAACTTTACGTTCGGCTTCCTCACACCAAAACAAGGACAGAAGTACATATAAACATATTTCCGCAAATCTTTTGTTTTAAAGTTTACGGTAGACGCTGTTAAATGTATAATCCAAGATACAATCTAAAAATACCAAGGATCCTGTCTCAGAAATGCCACAACAAATAGTGGCAAAAGTTGCATGACACGTCTGCCCTCGGTCTGAAAACGCAATCTGATACAGCCGTGCAACCTCGTGTCCATTCGCCCAGCCGTATGTAAAAATCATAACTGCTTGCTTACGATATGAATATACTGCAATTGTTACACTGAACATTTCTCAGTTAACTCATTACTACACACGCTAAACGTTGAAGACAGACTAGTCACAGATGTACACGAATGATAAATGTAACCTAGTCTACATGGCACTACAGCGCCATCAACCGAAAACTTTATTTAAACTTAATAAATCAAACAAGTTTGTAAAAGTATTTTTGATACACCCAGTATATATATATATATATATATATATATATATATATATATATATATATTCAAACATATTTGGTTAAATGAAATCGACAAGATCTGTCTATCAATTTTTTATTAATTTTTTTTCAAATTTCAGAATTGTTTTATGTTACCAGTAAATTTAACTGCTAACATAAAATAACTAATTAGTAAATTTGAAAAATTAAATAAAAAAATTGGCAGACGGAACTTGTCGATAATATTCAACCAAAATTTTTGAAAGCATTACTGCTACCGAAATAGACCATATATATATATATATATATATATATATATATATATATGTGTGTGTGTGTGTGTGTGTGTGTGTGTGTGTATACGTATATATAAGTGTGCGTATATATATATATATATATATATATATATAACCGTATATATATATATATATATATATATATATATATATATATATATATATATATATATAGTTAAGTTACGAAGAACTTGGTAAACCGAATGGGTAATTCCAAGGAGGATGAAATGCTGAGAGCTAAATGTGAATCCAGAGCTAATATTTAATGAAAAACAGACCACTTTAAGGGACCATTACAATAATTTATTTCACCAAAATCCTTTTGAAGGACTCCAAATCAAATGGTAACATTTCCAACAACGGAATTGTTACCTGATGATCAGTTTCAAAAAGGATTTTGTTGAAATAAATTATTGTAATGGTACCTTAAAGTGGTCTGTTTTTTCATTATATATATATATATATATATATATATATATATATATATATATATATATATATATATATGCGATGAATCAATTGTCGTCTAAATTACGCAAAAATGAAAATATCGCTGATATCTCATTTTAACAGATATATTTACCATAGTTGCACAAAAACATCTTGAAATACTAAAGAGTAAATTTATTCAATAAAATCGCCATTGGCTTCAACCCCGGCTTCCAGATGATTTCGGAATCTCTTGCAACTCTTCTGGACGATCTCCTTCTTTAAGTTGGTGAATGCTGCCATAATCCTTGCTTTCAGTTCATCTTTGGTGTTACAAGGAGTTTTGTTGATCTTCCAGCAGCTACTCTCTTGACCCACGGTAGCACTAACTCATCAAGGCACTTGATATAGGCCTCCGTGTTGATACTGAGGCCCTCACTAACAAATACGGGAGTTCTTTTCTTATCAGATTGATCAAAGTAAGTTTTCCAAGTTGCTGTACCTTCGTAATCACCATTAGACTCACCCAACTCTTTCCGAATCCTCTGCACTTTCCTCAGATTGACACCCAAATCCTTTGAAATGTTCGTATTGGAGCTTCCGGCGCGAATGCCATGCAGCTCAGCATGCCGTTTTCAAATTTCTGGCGGAGTGAATTGCGTCATGGTAGCCTTTTTCTTTCAGACGGTGCCCAATTTACTATACTATGCTGTGCAGTCGACAAAATAAAAAACAACGCGCATGCGCGAAATTAAAAATATAAAATGGCGACAATTTACCCATCACAACCTGTACACACACACACACACACACACACATATATATATATATATATATATATATATATATATATATATATAGAAAGAGAGAGAGAGAGAGAATGAAAGAAAGAGAGAGCGAGAGAGATACTTACAAAGATTCGCTAAAAAATGAACATATATGAAGAAAAAAGTATCCCAAACTTAATAAAAACAGAATTTGATTGTTATTTATAACTTATAGGATATGAATTAGTTTAGACATTTCTAAATATTTGTTAAAGATTTCGCCTACATTCATATTTTCGTAATATTTGTAGTTTTTCCATGTCAAAAATATTATACATAAACACTATATATAGGGGTTTGAAAAAGTATACTGTACGTATTATATCAGTATTGACAATTACAGTGGAACCTCGGTTTACGAATTCGTTCCTGAAGGCCGTTCGTAACCAGAAATGTTCGTAAACCGAAACGATTTTTCCAGTAGGAATAAATGTAAAGAGAAAACGTCACAGTACAATAAAATTGGAAAAGAAAAACGCGGCACAACACACGAATGTATACAACACGGCGGCACGGCGGTCGACTCAGAAATTAGTCCGTTTGGGTTAACTCGGTTCGGCTATGTTATTTTGTTTGATAACCGAAGCATTTTCATCTCGAATTTTCTGTTCGAAAACCGATGTTTGACATGTTAGACGTTCGAGAACTGAGGTTCCTCTGTATATCAATGTATTTTTATCATTCATGCAATACGCTTTGTGTGCACATTTTGTTTTTACATTACAGTACACCTACTCTGTAAAAGATAAACTGAAAATTATTAGTAATTGAATGAAAAATGGAAAATATTATTATGTTATGCCTTTCGTCCTTCGAGAGGACTTCTTATGTGTGAAGAAGTGTTTTCAAAAAAACTTCTTTGTCTGCATTTGCCTAGGAATCGATTTCGTTACTTTTACCATTTATTTTGATTTTTTCAAACTGATTATCTGGAATTTTTCGTCTAAGCATCATCAGCAATTTTCGCATTGCAAGATGCTAATTCTCTAATTTATATGAATTTATTTATAATAACTGTGAGCACACACACACACACACACACACACACATATATATATATATATATATATATATATATATATATATATATATATATATATTATAAAAAAGTCGGAAGACGAAACGCGTCGGCAAAATCTAAGATTTTTTTTCCAATTGTCATTTTATACCAATCTGTCTTGTCCACAGAATTGATCTGAGAATTTAACTATATTGTCGACATGGAAAAAAATCCCTTACTATAAAGGTAATTTACATTAACCAGAAAAAAAGGCTTAGCGTCTACCTTTTTAAATTTGGATTTTTTAATGTAACTATAACAACAAAAACATTTAGAATTGATCTGGGAATTTAACTATATATATATATATATATATATATATATATATATATATATATATATATATATATAGAGAGAGAGAGAGAGAGAGAGAGTAATTTAATTAACCCTTCATTAGTAAATCTTTGATTATTGCCCAAAGACGAGAAATTATTCTTACAATTTTTCTTAACCTCATGTTTTGCATCCGTACAAATAAAAATAGATAAGAAATGATTTTTTGTACGCAAGAACTGCCCAATGCTTCTTACTTATCGTTACCGTTTGTTTGATTATATATATATATATATATATATATATATATATATATATATAGAGAGAGAGAGAGAGAGAGAGAGACTAGCAGTATAACCCGTCTTTGACCGGGTCTTTCATTACTGTGAATTTTTGCCGTTCATTTGGAGCAGTTTAAGTTTAAAGTCAGCCCACCTGAAAAGCAATATTAGTAACAACATTTGGGTGCAACTGAGACATATCCCCAAATGGGGGGAGGGGGTAACAATTTGAATGGGGGTGGTCCTTAAACGGGAAACGTATAATAATAAATATTATTGTAATAATTTAAACTATTTTTATCAATTTTTTTATGAACGATATATATTCAAGAACAGATAGTAAATAGTAAAACGTTGCTGAGAGTTATAATGGATAGGAAGTAGTGGAGAGCCATTATCGCCAACAATTTAGACACAAAAACGGCACTGAAGAATTGTCTATCAAACAAAAAAAAATTATTCAAAATCGGATGAAAACTGTGGAAATGCATAGACAACATCGTATCACACACTCTCTCTCTCACACACACATATATACACACACATACATACACACATTTTGAGAATTGCTCTCGGACGTAGTTTATCGTCTTACCCAGGACGATTAACAAATGACATCTTCAATATGATTTCTATGATTTGTGATGCAAAGATTGATGCGCTTTGCAAGATTCACGTGAATCCGATGCAATAACACCACATTGTCATCCATTTTAGCAGATTCACTCTTTATACGTTCAGTCAAATGTATTGCGTCTGTGATTTTCATTGAGTACACCTTCTTCTTTAGCATACTCCAGAAAAAGAAGTCAGTTCTTGCTTCTTTCGACAAAACCATGTTTAAATCTGTGGCGGTAACAAAAATATATAGTTAATGAGATTTTCTATGTGTCCAAATTTCAAGGATACCCTGTATATAATTTTTATATGTATAAAATTTTTATTTAACAGTATCTTCTTCTTTCTTTTGCAGAGCGGTTCATGATTCCCATTGGTAAGCATTTAATTTTACAATTGATTTTCTCTATGACACTATTTGCAGTAAAATATATTGAATGTAGAATGTTGTCATATAGTCAATATTTGTATAAACCTCTCTAATAATCCGTCTGGAACTGCACGTGTGTGAAGCCAAATTTATTTTATTTTCCACCATCTGTGCATAGATTTTACACTAACCCCCCGATTCAATACAGATTTGATAATTGCTGGTTATTCTTGGATTGTCTTGGCAGAATGTTTGTTTAAGGGATCACTTTTTAAGCTAGTCGAATGACGTATTAGTCTTTTCACTGCTTCTCGTTTGCCAGCTAGAATTGCCATCTGGTTCACAAGTTTCACGGCACCATCTCTTCAGACAACCGCTTCACGATTGACCTTCTGGATGCTTTCAGTGAGGCAATATGTTTATTTTATCTATAGACAAAGAAAAATGAGCCAAGTACTCTTTTTCTATCATCTGTCGCCTAAAAAGATGCAGCTCAATCATACAATCTATCTATCTGTCTAAGTTTCTTCAGATGTTTCTCTAACTCAGTCTGATCATATCTATCTATCTATCTATCTATCTATCTATCTATCTATATATATATATATATATATATATATATATATATATATATATATCAGTTTCTTCAGATTTTCTCTAACCCATATCTATCTATCTATCTATCTATCTATCTATCTATCTATCTATCTATCTATCTTCAGATGTTTCTCTAACCCAGTCTGATTATATCTATCTATCTATCTATCTATCTATCTATCTATCTATCTCTCTCTCTCTCTCTCTCTATATATATATATATATATATATATATATATATATATATATATATATATATCAGTTTCTTCAGATGTTTCTCTAACTCATTCTGATCATACTATCTATCTATCTATCTATCTATCTATCTATCTATCTATCTATCTATCTATCTTTAAATGAATTTTTTATCCGACATCCTTTTAATACTATCAGTGAGGGTGCTAGGAAAGAGAATATTTCCAATTTGCCTTTCCCCATTATAGACATTAATATGTTCATGATATAACAACACCTAAATAAAACGGACGAAACACAATATCTGAAAGAAAGGAATAACAAACATGCATGTTCTCAAAGAGATTTTTCATACCGATATATACATACTTGTTTCTAATTTGTCACACAAAAAGAAATTGTAAGATATTAATACAACGAGTAATGTGAAAGAGGTGAAAAACGAGAGGGTCTTACTTGTAATATTTCCCGACGTGAAAACGGCCAGATCATTGGTGTCCTTTATGTACCTGGTGAGACCAAGTGTTTTACTTTGCTCTCTTAACTACTGTGGCCTTGCCTATCTGCTGCCTATCAGCTGGCGTGGGCAGACACATCTTGCCTCTAGTCATGCTAAATACCAACTGGTGGTCTTACTGTACGAACTGACGTCACTCACCGGTCGTCACGTAAACCCTTGAAAATTCATCTTTCTCAAAGGGAGATAATTGCCCTTTTCATCCCTTCACTATAAACGCTATTTTTAGTGTTTTTTTTAATTTTCTTCAACAGTGGAATTAACATCAACCAGTCTCGACCGTGACATCCTACAAAAGAAAAATATGCCTCCCGATAAGGATATCAACGTTTACGCACTAAAAATAACATTTCCAGTAAGAAGAAATGCATATAAAAAATAACGTATATATATATATATATATATATATATATATATATATATATATATATATATATATATATATATATATATATATATATATATATATATAGAGAGAGAGAGAGATAGAGAGAGAGAGAGAGGGACGGAGGAAAAGATATAGATGGACATAGAAATCAACACTGCATGTTGACTGTCAGTTTGTTTTTATTCCGATTTTCAAGTCTGACAATCGTATTTAAGCAGGGAAACTGAGTCATCATGTGGGGTTGTTTCTATGTCTCCATTGTCTATTTCTATGGACGAATTGTCTATACTGAGCACTCTTCCCCTATAATTTTAAACTATATATATATATATATATATATATATATATATATATATATATATATATAATTAAGGAGGCACCATGGAGTAATAGATAGCTGCTCGGATTGAGTTTGAATTCAATCGGATCCATTACATTTACTTATGTGAACTCATAATAACAGTTCATATGAACTCTCATATGAAGAGGATTCATACCCTGGGAAAGGTACGAATCCTCTTCTTCTCCCTCCAGCTATGGGTAAATAGGACAGACTGGGTTCTATAGCCTTCCGTGGCAACAGGTCTAGGAGAAGGAAAAATTCTGAATTCAAAACCGGCCTGGAGAGGGTTGGGCTCCGCCAAGCTATCTTGGCCAAGAAACACCACTACTACTGTGGCTGCAGTATCCATGGTGCCACTATAACCGTACGGGTCACGTGATAAAAATATATTAATTGCGATTAAATATCGATCAAATTGGGATTGAAATCCGACAGAATGATATGATACGGGGCAAATAGTCTAAAATGTTTTCTCCGCCATGTTTCATTCTCCGATGAAGTTTTAATAAAAGGGAAACTTGTTAGACTAAATTTAATATTTGTTCATTATCCTATCTTAAATATATATATATATATATATATATATATATATATATATATATACGTTGGTGAGTCAAAAAGTAATACAATTTGTTTTATTATATAAGAAATAAGGAATGCAATTAAACATGCCGTACAAGATATAGCTATCATCATTGTTTCACAGCCTTACTTCTCTACATTGTGACCACTACTTTCAATCTCAGATTTCCACCTGTGAATGAGTAACTTTCCCACCTTAGTAAATTTCTGCTGGTTGCTGATGTAGCCAATTCCTTACAGCAGTTTGCATTTCATCATCACCTTACTTAACACCCTCGTACCTTCATCTCTGAAATGTGCACTGAGAGGAAAACATTATATCTATACATTATATATATATATATATATATATATATATATATATATATATATATATAGAGAGAGAGAGAGAGAGAGAGAGAGAGAGCGCGATGGATAAATTATCGTCTAAATTACGCAAAAATTAAATAACACTGACATCTCATTTTAACCGATATATTTACCAAAGTTATACAAAAATATCTTGAAATACTAAAGAGTATAGTTATTCAATAAAATCACTGTTGCCTTCAACCACGGTCTCTAGCCGTCTTCGGAATCTCCTGCATCTCTTCTGGACGGTCTCCTTGTTTAAGTTAGTGAATGCTGCCATAATCCTTACCTACAGTTCATCTTTGGTGTTACAAGTAGTTTTGTTGGTCTCTTGCATTCACACATAGTAATCAATGGGTTACAGTCTGGGGTGTTAGGTGTGATGTAGCCGCAGAAATTGTCTGACAGCCATGACTGGGTTCTTCTGCTTGTGTGACATGGTGCAAAGTCCTGTTACCAGATATAGGGTCTTCCAACATCCACCCTCTTGACCCATAGCAATACTACCTCATCAAGGCACTTGATGTAGGCCTCCGTTTTGAGTCCCTGTGAGAAGATGAATGGAGGCATAAAGTCATCACAAGTAGTAACTCCAAACACCTTCGTAATCACCATTAGACTCATCCAACTTTCTGAATCCTCTGCATTGTCCTCAGATTGACACCCAAACACTCTGAAATGTTCGTATTGGAGCTTCCGGCGCGAATGCCATGCAGTACAGCATGCCATTTTTAAATTACTGGCGGAATGAATTGCATCATGATGCTTCTTTTTTTTCTCACAGACGGTGCCCAACTGACCCTACTATACTATATATTTATTACAGTTATTAATTTTAATAATTATTTTTACTTGCAGGTATTTCCAAGAAGAAGAGTAGTTTTCTGGATAATTTTCGGAAAAGAGTAAGCGCCATCCAGTCGAACAGAGGCAAGCAATTAACTGAACTTTTTTAATTAATTAAAGAAACAATTAAGAATCTGTTTGAAAATATATATATTCTGCTTTAATATCGCAATTTTGAGAAATACAAAATTTCACCAAATAAAAATTACGGGATTCAGTTTATAAGTGGGGTCTCTTATCGCGAAGCGTCGCAAATAGAACACGTTCTAATGGAAACGCGTTCTGAAAATGTATTCAGTAGTTTAAAAATGCCTAGAGTCAGGCCAGCTCACCGTGTATAGGCACCAAACAACGGTGTTTTTACGCATGCGTTCCGAGATCGTGTTATATCTAAAGCAGGAGTTTCTGCTAAAGATGTGACAGAATTTACTAATTTCGTTGTGCGGGTGGTGCAATGGATAGCTGCTCGGAATGGGAAATCGGAAATCCAAGTTCGGAAATCCAGTGGAGTTTCATTGTATTCACTTTCGGAAAAATAAGTCTGGGTGTGGTATGAATATGTCTTTTCCCTCTTCTGCTATATATTAAATGGTAGGGTAGTCTGTGTTCTTCGAGCTTGATTGGCAGCCAGCCAAGGAGGAGATATTGCGAATGCATAACCGTATGTAGACCTGACGAAGCCCATTCTATGCAGCTAACGGATGTATCTTGGAATTTACGAAGACTCTCTAATGGCGAAGGGTTTTTTAATCAATCAATGTGCCAACGTTTACGAGAAATAAATCGATTTGGGAACGTTGCGAGTAATCAAACAAAGCATCCGCAGAATAAAGTTTCAAAGAAGAAATGAAGAATTTTTCTTTTTGCTTTGCAACTACGCAAAGTTGCATTTTAGTCAACAAACAGCAAAAGGTCTGCAATTTGCAGTTTCTTCTCACTCTGTACAGTTCGGTTTTGGCATAATCAGACTTCGGGTTGATTTCAAAATTGAAAGAGCTTTTGAAAGATAAACATTTTAAACCCAATGCCGAAATTGAATCAAAGTTAATTGAAAGCAAAAATTCTTCATGTATGAAATGAAAACGTGGATAGAAAGTTTGAAAAGGAGCGTCCCACTAAATAGTGACTATTTTGACCCCCCCCCCACAAAAAAAAACTTGTCGTTTTGAAGAGAAATAATTGTACTACATCTTGATGTCCTCTTATGCGCAGTGTCCCTTTAGGACGTGGATGATTATGGCCATTCACGACTTCCATATCTAAGAAATATTTGTCTCCTTACTCTCCCTCCCAATCCCTGTTCTGTCACCCTTTTATACAAGCTCGTTAGGATGGTTACTTACTCTTTCCTTTTGTCCGTATTGCCATCAATGTCATGTGAGTGTCAAGTTTTCCAAGCCCTCATTTTTCATTACGTGTCGAAGAAATTTCAATTTTCTTTTTTGATTCTAATTACCAGTGTTCTTTTTGTTTCGATTTTTTCTAAAACTTCCTCGTTATCTACATACCCTGTCCATGGTATTCATGGTATTCTCCTCACGAACTACATCTCTATTGCTTCAGTTCTCTTCATATGTGAATTAAATGTACAGCATTCATTGTCATATAGGTGGTTTGATATTACATTGTGCTACATAATATCAACCCACCTATATGACAGTGAATGCTGTCATATGACAGTGAATTTCCGCAGAAGGGAAGAGAAGACGTGAGGCAACAGAGATTTGGTTTTGTGGAAGGATGCTGGGAATACTTCGTTTTGATAGTATTTTTGGCAATCTCGTACAAAAACGGTGTGTCAGAAGGGCGGTTTTCCCTTGACACTGCTATTATTTTAACTACCTCCACTCCTCGGCAATGTTTATTGTTTTAAAAAGGAATTTTAATAAAAACTAAACATATGAATGTAAGTTTATACATTTTATTCGTTCTTGATAATTCACTACAAAAATAAACACTATTATTTAGATTTTATTTATTAGATTGTTTATTAAAATGTTTGACAAAACATTTTCTAATTGCCAATTGATTCAAACTTTATAAAATGGTAAATAATAAGGATTTCCTTAGAGTTGATTCACTTTTATTTTTTTTTCTGTTTCTTTTTTTTCTGTTTCTTTTTTTTCTGTTTCTTTTTTTCTGATTCTTTTTTCTGTTTATTTTTTTCTGTTTATTTTTTTTCTGTTTCTTTTTTTTTCTGGTTCTTTTTTCTGTTTCTTTTTTCTGTTTCTTTTTTTCTGTTTCTTTTTTCTGTTTCTTTTTCTGTTTATGCCCACGTTATTCTCTTAACGAATACTGAAATATTCCAATTGCTTTTATTTTCAGAAAAGCTGAAAAAATCCGGAACACGTGGAATGAAACTCAGTTTCCCTTTCTTAGGTAACAGTCAGAATGGTGAGTGTATTTCCTCAAAAAGAATATTCCGAGTCTTTCCATGCTTTAATCTATTACGGGTTTCTCACCATAATGAAAGATTTACTTGTTATTTTCCTCAGAAGGATTATGTCGAAAAGTCATCGGTGCCCCAGAATTTATGCCGATGTTATATTTAACTCTAAATTTAATTGTAATGATCATATCTACTTTTCTATAGCGAAAGCGAAGTTAACTATGGCATCGTTGTTACGAAATATTACATCTAAATATTATGTAATATGTTATGTTAACTGCTTATAAAACATTACCTTAAATACTATGTTCTATTATAGTCAACAAAAGTTTGCCTTGGGAATTGGAAGAATATCTTGTATATCGAATGTGCATAAAAAAACATTCTCAAGCTTTATCGGGGAGATGGAAAGATTGAACTATAGGGATAGATTGAAAATAAATGGGAGCCTCTTTTGATACTTTTAGAACACCAAATGCGTAGTGACTTTCTTGAAAAATTTTAAATATTAATCAGAGACATTTACATTTTTTAGAATTCCAAAAAAGAACAAAAGATTTAATCGTACACATTTTTCAGGGAAATAGTTTTCTCAAATTTACTGTTATCACTCTTTCCATTGCTGATGGGGGTTTCCTTCCTAGCTTTTTGATTGAAGTTGTGTGGAACGTCAGCCTCTTGTTTATGTCATTATTTTCTCTTCGAGTTACATATGCTATCCATTATAGTTTTTACTGTTATTGGAAGTCCTCAAATGTTGTAGTTTCTGTTATTTGGTACAGTTCTTTGTTTGTGATTCTGTAGCGCCAGGCCACGGGATTCGATTACAGAAATAAAATATTGCAAGAGAAAAGAAAGCAGAAAACATTTATATAAAAAGCAAGTGATCACTATTTTTAACATAAACCAAAACGTAGTTTAACTCTCGTTAGTTTTTCCTTTCGGTTACATGTCTTCAGAATATGAGGTTAGATAAAGTAATCTAAGGGAAGTGATTCAGTTTTTGGTATGTGAAAAAAACTTTTTATTCTTTTTTTTTATTTTATCTTGCTTGGTTGCGAGAATGATTAAAACTCAATGGTTGAACAATTTTCATCTGAAGATATAAAGTAAATATTGTTGTTGCTAATACTGTTAATATCGTATCTAACTTGTTTTTCTCATTCAACCATGGAGTAGTGGTTAGCGAGGTAGTGAAGTAGAGCATTAATACTAGCGTTCAATCCTCACTGAATACAAAGTCTTCCCTCTAACCTTATGCCAGACCAAATTAACATGAGGAAATATCAGGATAATTACCTTCGTTTTTGACGACATAAGAAAGACTTATTGCATTTAAGCAGCTAATGTTTAAAACAAACTATCAGCAAATGGTAAAACATGACAAACACATTTCAGTTATAGCAGTAAACATTACTGTATATAAAAAGTAAGCTAGCTGTACAGATGTAGATAAAAGCAAGAAATCAAAATGGTTTACAAATACCAGCGTTTCCTTTCGGTTACGTCTTTTCATTCTTTCCAGTTTCAAATTGGTTAGTGATAGGAAAAGTATATTTAGGCCTGATGGATCCGCTGGTACCGACGAACGTTGCCGGTAATTTGCTACAATAATTAATTTTACAATACTGGCAATAATAATAATAATAATAATAATAATAATAATAATAATAATAAACAAAATGATTGATGTAACTATTCCAATATTTTTAAACACCTAAGTGAAGAGCGCGATTTAAGAAAAGAAAAGAAAAGAAAAAACAATATCTGTCTATATTTCTGAGATGAGGTATTATGTACACTATTTACATTGTTCGGACTATCATCCTCATCTTTGTTGGCATATTTATCACAACATTTCGGCCGTTGTACGCTCCGGCCTTCTTCAGGTGGTTGGGATGCCGAACTGAAGCCTTTATTTCGCTCGCCAGATCCTGTCCAGTGACAGGACCCAAAGAGTGTGAGTTCAATACCTGGTTAAGGTAGCAGAGAACTTGGAGAAGGGGAATTAACAGGAGATAACTGATAACTGACATGCATTAGAGATGGCACGTGGAACTAGGACACTCTACCCCAGCGAGCGAAATAAAGGGTTCAGTTCAGTCGAAACGTTGTGATAAATATGGCAACAAAGATGAGGATGATAGTCCGAACAATGTAAATAGTGTACAAGAAAAAACAGTGTTTGACAATATTTCAACAAAATGTCTGTCTTCTTCAAGGTATATTTAAAAGAAATAAATTCAAGTATAAAAATATATAAATCTACACAAAATTATATGTTTTTCTGCAAACGTTGTTGCGTGTCATGTAATGAAAAAAAAACGGCTGTACATATTAAGAATCTACCGACCTTTTGACCCTTAAAAAGCATGAGGACAGTTACGTATACAAATTATTGACTTCCCACCCCCGGGAATGAACATAATGACAGGAGTTCCATAAGATTTATACTAAGCCGTTTGATTAATTCCTCTTATATATATATATATATATATATATATATATATATATATATATATATATATATATATATATATATTAAGTCGACACCCCATGAAAAATTATTACCTGAAGAACAACATTTCCGCCTGGAAAACACGATTTCAAAACCCATGCCAAATTCACTATAATTGAGAGAATAGAAAAGTTCAGAGCAGTTAACATTAGAAAGATTTTAGAGTCCCATGAAAATAAGTGGATACAACGTCTAAAAACACAATATCCAGCCGGGCTAAACCATAAATTTAACAATATAGATAGTACTAATATATAACTCTACAAATCAAAACCTACCCATTTCTCACCCACACAAGACAGACATGCTTACGGAGGTTTCGTGGAGGCCTCACACTATACACACACCCACACGAATATACACACTTACACATCATACTCACTCACTCCCTAATGAGCCAAATGATAACACACCCACAGCAATACACACAAAAATACACACACATATCATACTCACTCACTCTCTAAGAACCAAATAACACACACAAAAACACTAAACAGAGACACATCCCCTCTCAGGACTAATAAAACTGTCAAACTGACCACAGGAATCCATCTCTTATCTCAAATAAAAACTTAAAAGAGACTGTTTTGACCAACACAAATAAGAATGTTAAAGATTCATGTTAAAAAGATAAAAAACTAAAAAAACTAAAAAACAAATGAAAACTACAGACAAAAAGTTCATTTTCTCCATCAAGACATTCATTTCTGTAGTTTACTGCTACCAACAAGCAAAAATATTTCTTCTCCTGATGATGGCCATTTTCTTATCTCAATAAACTAATCGAGAATCTAAATGAAATAATAAAAAAAAAACGAAAGAATATTAATCTACAACCCAGTGTGTCTGAAAGATTTTAATTTTTTAATATTTCTTTTATTGTCCAATATATATATATATATAAAAATATATATATATATATATATATATATATATATATATATATATATATATATATATATATATATATATATATATATATATATATACACAAAGGGAGAGAGAGAGATTAGTAAACATGTACACATATACACGCACCGATAGAGATATGGGATGTCTGGGATAAGAGAAAAAAATGAGAAAAACGGACACGGAGGTCCGCTTAAGTTTGGGGGAGGGGTACGGAAAAATTGAAATATAAGTTAAAACAAAAAAAAAAATGGAAATAGAAAAGTGAACTGAAAAGGAAAGAATTAACTTGAGTCAAAAGGATTTAGAATCATATTAAACTACAGGAAAAGTATCATTGAAAAATGGTACAGCATTTACCATTTCTTACACGTTCGGAGCATGGCACAAGTGACTTTCCACAAATGTTCAATTTTCCGTCGCTATACTTATCAAATTTTATGGGGTAGGCTGGACTTATACTATAGATTGGTAGGGGGAATATCAAAGAATTCATTAAACAAAGGGGTAGAAACAAGGGAATAAAAGTTATACTTTTCCGGTCATCTCTCAACCTACTAGCCGCTAAAAGATATATTTTAAAATTTTTACTCAAAGAGACGACAGTCAAAGGGCAGAGCATTGTAGGAAAATTACACCTGTAGCCATGAAAAAAAAATGCCCTGATGCTATACCAGGCTGAATCTAATGGCTTCTGATCTTGATTGGAGGTGTGAACATTTACATGTTTTGTCTTGGTGAATTAAGATGGGCTACAATAAAGATCCTGCTTCTCAGTAGGTTGGCAATAACAACTTGGGTAAATCCCTGAAGAAATTACACAATGTGCATCTCCGTTCATGAGCGGGAATATTGATCAAAGAGGGAATCAAGTGTGTATTCCGAGCTTTTTTGTTTGCGTTTGAAGAAACGTGATGGCGAAGGCGAGTTGGGAGACACCTCTAGATACTTTGGAACACCCTCAATCGGAAACTTTCCGAGTTAACTGTATTATCAGACTTGAAGGTATATATAACTGAGTCTCACCTGTAAGGCTATGCGTTGCCTTATCAAAACTTATCGATATATCGCGCACATTTGACTGTGATGTAAGTACCTGGTATACCTTTATACGACTGCTTCTCATGATGACTATATTGGGTTTCGTATATTTATACCACAGCCTCACTTTGTTGGTGGGTTGCTCTATCATTTAATAGAATAATAATAATAATAATAATGTTTGATATAATATGATATATAATAGGAATATTAATAATAATAATAATAATAATAATAATAATAATAATGGTAATAATAATAATAATGATAATAATGTTTGATATAATATGATATATAATAGGAACATTAATAATGTAGTGGAAGTATAATTTGTCTTTAGATGTGTAATAAGCTTTGGAGTAGAGGTCTGTAAAAAACGAAAAAAATTTTATGTCTATGTATTTAAATAAATCGTATCGTCTGCTATTCAAAACAAATAAAATTAAATCATTAAATCCTCTAATTTGGAAGAAATATCTTAGGAGAAATATCCATTTCTTGTACGACCGACATGATAACGAAAAAAAAAAGTGAAATTCTCTTTTATTGTAACACTCGTTTTCTTCTGACACTGGCTGACTAGACTAAAGTGAACAAGACAAAAAGAAGAAAGTGTCGTTAAATGAGAAGCAACAGAAGCACATTTGCAATTTTAATGTATTATTTTTGTAATGTAGTTTTGAATTGAATTTCTATTCGGAATAAAATTTTCTCACCAGATTTTGGCGGTGCAAAAATATCGATTTTTTTCTTTCTCCGTATTGCGAAATGTCTCATGTTGTATATTAATTTAAAGACGTTCATAATAAAAACACCTCGATGATTTAATAACTGACGTGGACGCATAAATAAAAATATATATAACATTATACTTCTTAGTTCTAACTTCAGTCTTGCGTACGTCCATTACATTTTCATTGTCTTCCAATATCCTGTCTGCTAAATGGTGGGCAGGATACTGTAATTTTCACAGTGATATTTTATATTTAAAACGATGGTACCCTATCGCGATTCAAAAGTAAGTGCCTGCCGACCAAGTGCAAAGATATAGGAGTTGGAATTCTATATTTTTGTTATAAATTTCGTATACCGCTTGTAGTTACTAACACTGTAACGAAACACTGGAACAAAAGGTTGAGTGAAGAACAGGTTTAATCACATGAGAGACATGGATTAATAATACAGTAATATAGAATCCTGATATGGCATCTCGTCTACAATCACTATCTTTTGTACTAATACATTCACGGTAACTGCTGCGACGAGCTACTTTCACTGGTTCCCAAACTGCATGAGTTTAAACGTGCTACTGGGTTGACATCTCAGTTCCACACTTTCACTGTTAAATGTATCCGTCTCTTCTACTCCAATAGCTTCATGTCTCCCACTTCTCGTGTGTGGAACTCCCTTCCTCTTACTTGCTTCCCTGATAGCTATAATCTTCAATTATTCAAATGCAATGTCAATCAACATCTTCAGATGCCTTGATCTATTCCCCGTCCTTCTCTTCATCCTTTCCTCTATCACGCCTCTTTACTCTTGCCCCTACGCTCTGTAACCTCTTGCGTGCTAGTGACACTCCCGCCTTGCTTGGGGCGAAATGCTTAAAAATAGTAACGACTCGAAGGCTACGTTTTGTGACCCACTGTGCGGCGAGTGACCTATGAGCGGACGTTCAACTCAGAACAGATAAACGAGTCCCCTGTTCAACAACTGGTGTAGAGAAGATCGAACGTCTTTCTACACAACAATTTTCTATAGAAATCGAAGTAAAATCTTTAATTTATCTTAATATATCCCACTGAGTAAAATCATTAAAACGTATGATATTCATTATTCATATTCTAGGTTGGCACAGGGCATCGCTCTGACAAGACTAGCTTGAAAGTCATAGATTCGCAACAGCCACCAAAGGAGGAATATATCACCGTTACTGTGTGGCTTATACGCGCTTAGCAGAGGAGTTAGACCAGCGTTTCTCAACATTTTTACCCCTTGTAGAACCCTTATAATTTGCACGTCTCCGGGAGCTCCTGCACAAAAATATTATATACCATCATTAATATCTATTTCTTGTATATTTTTATCTTAGTTCTCATATTTTACCCCTTAGTTCCCTAATTTGCATCGTCTCCATTCCCTGGGAGCTCCCCAAAAAATGCTCAGTTTGTTTGCTTTGTTTCTAACTCATATACCATCATTAATATCTATACATCTATTTTATCTTTGGTTCCTGTACACTCAATGTCCTGTTTCTGTCTGTAACAATATCTATCATCTATCTATCCTCTATCTATCTATCTATCTCTGTTCATTTTATATTTATCTGTCACTCAATGATACACGAATCCTTTACATACATGTACTGTCTACTAACCAATGAATGCGGTTTCACACTGACGTCATACAGACATCGCTAAATACATTCCCTGTGATTATTATAATTTGAAATAATATAAGAGATCGAAGCCTTTGTCATAATAACCAAAGTTTTTCAAACTATATGCCGTACGTGTGGATCTAGTATATTTTTCCTTTCATCTATCTATCTATATCTATCTCTATCTATCTATCTCAATGTTTGTTTGCTTGTTTCTATCTATCTATCTATCTATCTATCTATCTATCTATCACTCAATATGTTTGATTCTATCTATCTCTCAATCTATCTGTAACTCATTATGTTTGTTTCTATCTGTAACAATATCTATCTATCTATCTATCTATCTATCTATCTATCTATCTATCTCTGTTCATTATATATTTATCTGTCTATCTGTAACACAATATGTTTGTTCCTTTGTATCTATCTATCTATCTATCTATCTATCTATCTATCTATCTATCTATCTATCTATCTCTGTTCATTATATATTTATCTGTCTATCTGTAACACAATATGTTTGTTCCTTTGTATCTATCTATCTATCTATCTATCTATCTATCTATCTATCTATCTATCTATCTATCTATCTATCTATCTATCCTATCCTATCTATCTATATCTATCTATCTATCTATCTATCTCTCTATATCTATCTATCTATCTATCTATCTATCTATCTCTCTATTTCTATTATATATTTATCTGTCTCATCCATCTATCTATCTATCTCTATCTATCTATCTATCTATCTATCTATCTATCTATCTCTATCTATCTGTCTTTTATCTATCTATCTATCTATCTATCTATCTATCTATCCTATCTATCTATCTATCTATCTATCTGTCTTTGAATATCTATCTGTCTATAACTCATCTTTCTATATTTGTTTTTATCACAGCCTTTTCAAATCTTCGGAACTCTCTGAAAAGAATTGGTGATAAAATAGGCAAAGATATTAACTGGGATCCACCAATGGTTGGAGATGATCCAAACGCAGGAGCCGCAAAAAATAAACCTGGTCAGTAAATAATATCCTTCTTTATCTTTCTGTAAATTTTGACCAGGTATTTCTCGTAATAATGACTTTCTTTTTGGCATCTTCGCATAATTTCACGAGGACGAGAACGTTAGCCCGAATGTAAATAATGATATGCCATTCCAAATATTCAGATAAAAATTTTCGATACGTACCCGAATCGATATATCAATGAGGCCGATCGAAAAAAAAAAAAAAAAACTGGCACGGGGATCAGTTTTGACATTCTTGTACAAATGTAGGAACCTAAAACTAGTTCCACCAAGTTTATCGCTCCAGACATCAGCCAGTTTCCGGTGGGGGTGCAAAGAGTATTGGAAAGAGCATCGAATGCCTTTTATGGAAGAAAGGATTCTTCAGGCGTGATGAAGCATAAACCACAATGAGAACAAATGAGGGCGGCCCTTATGAGGATAATACGCGATACAGATAAAAACAAAGATGAGGACATTAGTCAGAATGTAAATAATGTAAATAATGATAACCTCGTTCCAAAAATTCAGACAGAAATTATCGAATCTGTACGGACCTGATGAGATAGACCAATGGCGATCGGGGAAGTACCATAATTGTTCAATCTTTCAGACCTGCAAACCAAATATATTTGATTTGTAGGTCTGAAAAAACATGAAAACTATTTTTATGGCTTTCATGAAATAAAGATTATTACCTATGGTATTTTAAGTGTTTGATATTCATTAATTAATAATTTTGGTCTGTCTCGGATATATATATATATATATATATATATATATATATATATATATATAAGTATTATTTATATATATATATATATATATATATATAAATGGGTATATATATATATATATATATATATATAGTAACTATACTCGAAAAACCTTCAATTTTTTGATTTGCCAATAATCCAATCAATCTCGAAGGAAAAAGGTTTTAAAAAAAGAAAGAGCCAAGAACATGAAAGTCTGTCGAAAAAAATCCTTTTGATACAGGTTCAAAGCCAAAGAAAAAAAAAAACCGACACGAGTAAACAACTAACTAACAAAAAAGCTCAATACAACCGTAGAGCAGACCTCGTCAAACCTAATGAGCCAGACAAACCTACCCAGGTTTCACCTAAGCGATTCGTCAGGGAAAGCTGGGTGGTTTGACTATATATATATATATATATATATATATATATATATATATATATATATATATATATATATATATATAACCTCTAAATAAAGACGATATATAAGGTTTAAAATGAATTTTTAAAATGAAAAATCTTTTTGAAACTTTTATTTTTAGTTTTAATTTTAATCACATAGATTAAATTTAATATTTCCGAAAAGCAAAATATTTTTCTCCATTTCAGAACTAATTTAAATTGATTGGAATGTGTTTTTTTAATCGCTAAAAATCGCTGATTTTAGCCATTTTTAGTTATCTGACAGTAAAATGTAATTATGTTTATTAAAAAATCTTTCAAAAATAAAATACACTTTTTTGAAATTTTATTTTGGGAATATTAGCTGAGTTAAAGTTTAATTAATCTGATTTGAAACAAATATTACTTTCTTACAGTTTAAAATATCGCAGAAATGCATTTTTTAATACGAAGGTAGGTGTTTATTTAAGGTGTTGAAAACTGTATTGATAGGCCGGACAGCTTTATTAGCAACCAGAAATTTAACTAATTTTTTTCTACGAGAGAAAAATTATCTGTAAAAATTACTTGATGAATATAAGTTGAGCGCGTTTTTTATATAATTTGTAATCTTAAAAATTTAGGAAAATATTCTTCATAATCTAATGTTTTTATTGTACATTGGCTTTAAATTTACTATAGTTCCTGCTCTTGTTTTCTGATAATGTTCTGTATAGACGTCCGTATTTACAAAAATCAGCGCGTTTACGCACACACGTAAACACACACATACACACACACATTCAAAATTATTTTTAAAATACCATCGCTGAATTGCAGTAAGCTTTTCCATTTATGATTAGTAAAGATAGTTTTTACTTATTAACAATATCACCTAAATGGTAGAAATTAATACGGAATTTTAAAAATTTTATTTTATAAATTATTCTGATTAGATTTTAAAAAATGAATACAATTCTTGTAAAAATTCATTATTCACTGAAAAAAGATATTTCTTAAGACAATAGTGTCCAAAATATATCTTATTCATATAAGCAATTAAAAATTTTAAATTTTAATTAAATAATGTCTTAGTTTTGTTGCATTTTTTATTTTACGATTCAGAGCAGAATTTCGGTAACTGGGGGTCTTGTTTTACAAAAAAATAGACGAACCAAGATACTCTCATGGAGTGTGACCAAATGAGGTTTATTTTTCAACATAGTTCCCCATGATGTTTACACGTTAGTGGAGAAGCTTCTATCCTATTGGTCAAAAGTCATCAACAGCAGATATAGCGTCATCATCACTGCCATTGTAATATTGGTTCTTAGCCAAGTGTTTTTTTTTTTCATGCTGGGAAAGAGATGGGGCTTAAATTAACAGCCCCGCACGGCAAATATTGAAATCAAGGACTTGAGTGCTGAAGCATTGTTCTATCTTTCGTCAGTTTCCCTGTGTGTTTTGTCTTGATAGCCTTTCGTAACTCCCTCATCAAGTTAGAATCACACTCTCCATTGATGGCGTAGCCTTTTTGAAGATCGTCAATAAATACAATACATTTTGCATCTCAAAAAAAATGAGGCCATCACATTCACGATCTTAGATATTTGAATCGGGTAAAGAGGGGTGTTTCCACTGTATGGATTGTCTCTTTGTCTCTGGCCCAAAGTGATGAATACAAGACTCAACCTGGGTAAAGAAACATTCAAGGAAACCAACTGAACCTGCCTCAAACAATGTCAGATTTTCCTGCGGTGTAATCAGCTTGGTCCCTCTTGCTTTCAATATGTCCTGTGAGTATCAAATTTTCCAAGCCCTCTTTCCTCATTATGTGTCCTAGAAGTTTTAACTGTCTCTTCCTGATATTTAGTATAAGGGTCTTTTTTGTTTCTATTTTCTCTAATATTTCATCGTTGCTCACATGTTCAGTTCATGGGATTCTCAGCATCCTTCTGTAGAACTACATTTTTATTGCTTCAAGTCTTTTCTTCATTTGTGAGGAGATTGTCCAACATTCACTGCTATATAGCAGGGCTGATATTGCATAACAGTTCAGTACTCTTTTCTTTATTGCTAATTAAATTTTTCTATTTCTTAATATTTTGCTTAGATTTTGGAAGGCATCATTCGCTATCCCAAATGCGCTTTCGGATTTCAGTGCTGCACTTTCTGTCCTGTTACAACATTTCCCAGATATTTAATATAATAATATCTCCGAATTGTAATGCGCGCGCAAAAAAAAAAAAAACAAAAAAAAAAAAAACAACGGATTGTCAGTGATCAGGAATGCAGGAAAGTATAAGTAACATAAGATGTTTTAGTATATGCACGATTTGGGTACTGAAAAATTCTAAGTCTGACCAGTAGTCCTCCGTTCAGTCATTTGGTCAGATTTGAGGAAGAAGGTCAAGTGGTGTATCTTTTCAGCATCTCCACGTATACATCAATTTATGCCTGGTTTTATCCTATTTACTAATATATTTTTTCTTTGGCTTCTTAGTTACTTGTGGAGGTGTCCAATGTCACCCGAAAGCCATTTGTTACAGGAGCAGATGTCGTTGCCAAAAAGGACTGACGGGCGATGGTGTAAACACCTGTCAAAGTATGTACATATATTTTACAGTCATTAAACATCTTCGAATTATAATATATCATGTCATTCATTATCACGGGAGTAATAACAATAAATAATTGTTGGATTCTGTATCGATTATGTAAATTGCTACTTACTCATTGAGAGATCAGTATTGAATTTACCAGTAGAACTGTAATCGTCTCTCTTCTTACCGGTATCGCTAAGAACTCAAAAGTCGGAATTAATATTTACACATCGTAATAAGATTTCACACGCACTTATCTTGAAGACTGTAGGTCAGCTGTTTGTTAGGAATTCAAATCGACATGAAATTAACATCTGATGACCAGGTTATTAGTATTTGACTTTGTTATTTCATACCTCTCTGCATTTAACCCTGATTCAATTAATATTTTCTTTCTTTCTTTCTTTCTTTCTTTCTTTCTTTCTTTCTTTCTACATTTTCTATTCTTTTTTTCTCTACATTCTTTCCTTATTTCTTCCTTTTTTCTGCATTTTCTTTCTTTCTTTCTTTTCTCTATAATCTTTCCTTTTTCTTTCTTTTCTCTGCAGTCGTGCGTTCGTTCCTTCCTTCTCTCTATATACTTACCTTCTTTCTTTTCTCTGCATTCTTTTCTCTGCCTACTTTCTTTCTTTTCCTATGAATCTTTCTTTCTTTCTTTCTTTCTTTCTTTCACAATTCAATTCTTCTTTCGCTTTTCTGCATTATTCCTTACTTTCTTTTCTCTGTATTCTTTCCTTCTTTCTTCCTTTTCTTGGCATCTTTCTTTCTTTCTTTCTTTCTTTATATTATTTCCTTCTTTCTTTTCTTTGCATTCTCTTTTCTGTAGTCTTTCTTTCTTTCTTTTTTTTTCTTTCTTTCAATAAAACCTAATAATAATACGTGCTAAGAAACTAACAATAATAATTTGTCTTGTCTAAAGAAAAATCAGAAACTTTGCTCATAAAAGTTCAATTAAAAAGCAAACAAAAGAAAGACAAATAATTATTAAGATACATTTACTGATAGCGTAATGGTTATCGGCGCAGAAAAAAGGGAAAAGGCTAGAAGTGTTCAAATTTCAGCTTAGTCGGTTGCGCTCACTTTCACACAAATTCCCTCGGACAAGACGAACCTACATCTTCTCTCACCAACTGCCGTGTAAAATAGCAGGGTAGACTGGGTTCATTAGTCTTTAGTAGCAACCAGTCTAGGAGGAAGACAACTCTGAATTCAAATTCAAAACTGTGTAGAAAGGGAATGGGAAGCCACGTTAAACTCTTTCATAAGAAGTTTTGGCAATATACAGATAGTAAAAGAAAGTAGTCTATGAAGTGCAAGGACCGTCTACTTCATGAGGGAACATTAAAAAAATCTTACGCATCTTTTTCCATTTTTCTATACTATGATTACCACAAAGCATACATAAACAGTAAAGGTCATTTTTTATTTTAATAGAAATGCAACTCTACTTGAGGTTTTATTTTTCCTACAATCCACGTCTATACTAAACATCTTTCCTTCTTTTGTTTTTCCAGAGATTTGCAAATGTACTGTGTCAGGGGATCCCCATTTCCACACTTACGACGGGGAAATCCTTCACTTGATGGGCGACTGCAAATATGTTCTCTCGGAATCTATTAAATTTAATGATGATTGCAATTTCCGTGTCGACGTGAAAAATGAGCGCCGAGGATCCAATCAGAGAGTCTCTTGGCCTAAATACGTTGAGATCCATATCTATAACCAGTCCATACGTTTAGGACCAAACGAAAACGTCTTTGTAAGTCACCAAATGATTCTAACATTACAGTCCATTTACTCTGTTAGTGCTGATAGTTATTTCTACAAAGCTCTTTCTCTTCGCGACACGAATTGCATTAAAAGGCCGTTATCCGAAGAGAGAAAACAAAACCATATATCACAAGGCAAAATGGAGGAAAATCTAGTATGAATTTCACGCCATGAAATAACAGACGTTTGAATCTATTTTAATGTCCTTTGATCTAAGAAGAGTTGATAAGTGGTGACCCCAGTATGTATTGGGTTCACCTTAGGGGATACCTAAGTTTTGCATTCAAAGCGTCAAAAGACTCAAGTTCCTCGAGAATTGTCCTGGAAGGTGACTTCACAACTACCAAGAGCTGAATCGGGCTTCAAATGATGTCGGTGAAGAGAAGGAATTCCCCAAAGTTATGACGTATGACGAGGGGGGAGTATTCACAGAAATGCTCCTACCTCGCCATATCCCCATGCCAGTTTGGGCGAATGTCCATAAATACGAATGCGCGAGACGAGTCGCAGACGAAAGACGAGACGAGAGACAAGACGGCAGAGAGTTCGTCTCAGCCACCAAGGCATGATACACCCCACGTGATTGCCTGCCGAAGAGAACCCTCCCAACTTCAGCCTTGTGCCAAACTTTATCAAAACAGCGAACCAGATTTTGCCAAGTCAACAACGATAGTATCACTTCCGATTTAGATTGCATGCGAACTCTGATATGAACCAATTATTGTACGGAGGACTGATATAAAAAGAGTATTTACTCTTGTTTAATTTATTCGAGTGTTATTTTTTTCTCTGTTCGCCATCGCCTTGCTTGGACCCGCCTAGCACGAAGATACTTGCGACGATTTGGTCTTGGCCACCTGATGATCAAACTTAAATCACAACGTGGGATAAGCTAGGTCTGAGATCGAAGCGATCTTAATCGATCAGCCGCGGTGTTGGAAGTCTTGGACGATCGGGGAGGGTGTTGTACGATTATAAATGCGTTGGGTTTAAGCTTAACATTGTCGTGTGTCAGCGTCGTCCAAATTTATTCTCAACTGTCACGTATGATTAGTAGTTAGGATGATATATTCGTCATTAAAATTGGTTCCTAATTTAGTATTATGAAGACATTAATGTAAACATGTACTACATGAACTCAACACAGAGCAATTCAAAGTAATGTAATATAGTAATAGCTCTAAGTAGAGGCTTATGATGCTTTATTTTACTAATTCAGCTTTTTTATTGTGATGGATGGTTACAAGCGAGATGGGAGATGGGATGTGCTTATTTTATTACCACATAGCTTAAGCAACACCAGTACCAGCGTCACTTGGGAGCAGCCCTGTCAAAAGATGGCATCTGCAACGCATCGCCACATATACAGACTGGAAAGGATATGGAAGAGCAACATCAGCTTTCATACCAAGTTCCAGCTCTACAAATCGCTGGTCATATTCATCCTCCTTAACGGGTGTGAGACTTGGACACAGCTGGTTGAGGCATGAAAAAGGGATCTAGCTATTCGAGAAAAAATATTTGAGAAAGCTACTTTCGTATCTGCTGCTGGGAGCACAAAATCAATGAGGTCATAACTCTCGTGGTCCATCAAGTATCTCTCCTCGTCACAATTAAGCGTCGAAAGATGTCATGGTTTGGTCACACGTCATAGCAGCCCATGTAAGACCATCATTCAATGCACTGTTAAAGGCGGACGCAAGTGGGGACGGTAATGCAAATGCTGGTCAGACAACATTAAAGAGAGGTTGGACATGACAATGCCAGAACTCCCGAGAGCCAACGCCAACAGATCATTCAGTACGAGGTTGTCTGTTTCTTCATCCCCAGCGATTGAAGCAGTCAAGGGACTGATGATGAGGAAGACAATGATGATGATGATGATTATATGGAATATTAGATAGGAAATATTTTTTAACGATTTTTTGCTGATACGAAACATAAGTACTGCATGAAACAGAGACTTGTTGAAATTTACGATCGAAAAAAAAAAAATGGTGATTTAAATCCTCTAAAGTGACGAACTTTTCGATCAACTCTTTCAAAAGAGGATCGTTGATAGATTTTAAAGGTCAAACAATTAAACGAAATTACCAATAAAAAAGAAGTAAATCCTTGTAAAAGTAATTCGTGTGTGAAATCACAATACGGAAAAAAAAACTGAGAAAGACTAATCGCAAACCAACTTAATCAATGCGGTAAAAAGGAAAATATGGTACATGATGTACTGTAATTTCATGTGTATAATACGACATGATTATAATACAACCCCGTGTTTCTGAAACTAAAACTGGGAATAAATTTCATCCTTGAGTATAATACGCTGTACTATGATCCCATAGTACAGCCATCCCTCGGTAATATTTTTTGTACCATATTATCCATTAAAATCTCAATGTTGTACATATATTTCATTAAAATAGTTCATTTTTCAAGAAGAGAAATGAAGCGGATGTTTAGCCATCGACTTTTTATTCTCTTAATTTGCGTTTCAAAACATTTTCAAATTGTCGGCGAAAGAATGTTATCAAAACATGAAAGATCTTGTGTATTCACTTTATTATTTTTTTTAATCAATTTAGGTGAATTTCTTGCCTTTGAGACAAAAAAAAGTTTAATTACGCTGATTCCCAAAGAACAAATATGGCCGACGTATCGAATTGTTGTCAACACCTGACTAGTTTGTGTTTTGTTATTTATTGTTCTAACTGGGTGTATCTTGCATTTTTCAACTAAGAGTTTTTTTTGTTTTTTTTTAAACTGAGTTAACATTTCTGAAAACGTGTACTTGTGTATGTTACGACCCTCCTTTGGATATTTTCTGTTAATTCACCTTAAATAATGTAAAGCTATCACAAATATTAATCCACCCAAAGAAGTTATAAATTTTTAAATCAAAATTTGTTTTTTGCTTTTTTAATTAAATTTTTGGCAGTCTTTTGAAATTATAAATTTTAAATCAAAATTTGTTTAGCTTGCCTCGCAATAACTCCAATCGCTAAAACGTAAAATTACCAAATACCAGTGAGTTATTCACATTTCTTAAGGTGATGTACTAACAAGGAATTTTTTATAACTTAAAAAAAAAAGAAGAAAAATCTGTTTTTGACGTGTTTATCCGTCTGAGCGCGAATGAAGACCCTACGCTTAGAAATAACGCACCCGATGTAGTGAAAACAGAAAGTCCGAATAGCGTAGCCTAGATATGGCACAAGGCCGAAAGTATGGGCACCCAGTGAGGATCGAACTCACTCGTAATTGTTCTAGCGAGACAAGCTTTCTAACCATTGCACCACCTCGAGGTATCCATAATTTTCCAAGCGTAGCTCAGATGTGGCACAAGGCCGAAAGTATGGGGCACCCAGTAAGAATCGAACACACTACGCAGTCGCAATTGATCTAGGCAGACAAGCTTGCTAACCAATACACCACCTTAGTGATTTTCCAAGCGTAGCACAAGGTATGGGGAACCCAGTGAGGATCGAACTCACTACTCAGTCGTAATAGTTCTAGTGAGACAAGCTTGCTAACCATTACACCACCTCGAGGTACCCACAGAGAGTCCGAATAAACTTAAAGATAAGCTTTATTCCAATTTATCAATATATGGGGGGAAAATCAACTGCTTATATCTACAGTCGACTGTTCCATTCATCAACAGGGGTGGAAGAGAGATCTCAGCTACTTCTGAATACTACACTCACATTTGGGGCGATCGTAATGGTCAACCAACCCGGAGTACAATGGGAGAATTTAGTGTGAATTTTAGTAAATATAAATTTATCTATTTTCGGGTGAATTAGCAGAAGAGATCCTCCCCTCTTTTTTGCCTTTAAATTTCATTCAAAATCTCTTGTATTATACACAGGTATATACATTAGTTTTAGAGAATAGAAAAAATCCTTTTGATTGCGAAGAGGCGGTTGTCGTCTGGAAATAAAAAGATATTCAAAGATTCTCAAATGAAATGACGACCGTTTAACAATTACCTTATTCTTCTTTATGGAATAACTCCAAATTGTTTCAAATGTTTATCAAAGTATTCTTTTCTATTCGATTTACGCTTTCTCTCTTCGTTGTTTTAGGATTAGATTAAAAAATTGTTGAATTACTTTTAGTTATCATAAGGCATTTTTCTTTTCTTATCGGTATATTAAACTAATTCCTTGATTATATTATTTGAAATTTATCACCAAGCAACAAATAAACAAAAAAAAAAATATTATCTTACGATATCAGTTATTATTAATATTATTTTGTTCAGGTGAACGGAGAAGCCAAAAAAGTTCCATTTATGAGACTTGGTGGCAAAATCGAAGTGTTCCAGGTGTCCCGTTCAGTCCAAGTGACCACTAAATGCGGTATCCAATTAAACTTTAATGGAAAATCTATCGCTCAACTCTTGGTCCCTGATAAATATTCAAGTCGCTTGACTGGTCTTTGTGGGGACTGTAACGGTAAAAAGGACGACCTGCGTACAAAACAAGGCCAAGATGTAAGCAAAGCGAAGGACAAATATTCGACGATTGGTAAAAGTTACATTGTCAATGATGATCACCAATCCGATGGAACTCAGTAAGTTTTCCTTCTTATACACACACACACACAAACAAACACATGCTTTAAGATGTACTTACTAAACCTTTTCTTTGTCGTACTTGGTCAATTTCTGTGAATCTATTTTTAATGAAATTGTTTATATGATGAACGTAATAATACTTTGATGAAGAGCGGTAAGAAATCCAGTTTTTTTTTTTTAATACAATTTCAATTCACCGTGGTAATTTCACTTCTTGATGGGAAATAAAAAAGTAATTGTGAAAGCAAGAATAACATTATTAACACTAACAAAGTACTTATTTTTCTAACATAATTTTATTTCATATACAACAGCTCACAAAAAATAAACCTGACAAATATTATACAACGTTAAGATTAAGAATCACGTTAAACAATCTAATAATAAAATATAAGTTATCTATCAATCTCTCTATCAATCTATTTGTCTATCTTAGTCTGTTCTTATCTATCTATCTCACGCTATCTCTCTCTCTCTCTCTCTCTCTCTCTCTATATATATATATATATATATATATATATATATATATATATATATATATATATATATATGTGTGTGTGTGTGTGTGTGTCTGTACGTATCTATTCATCTTTCTTTTTATGTGCCATGTCCTTTCAGGACGTAGGCGATCATGGCTCTCCACCTCCCTCCTTCCCTTGCAGCTCTCAGTCTCTCTCTCTCTCTCTCTCTCTCTCTATCTATCTATCTATCTATCTGTCTGTCTATCAGTCAAGTCAGCATTTTCGTTCAACACTTCTTCAGAAAGCTTCATTAGAACGACAATCATGAAAACGGCGAAACTGAAAAAAGGTAAATACGTGTTGCAGCGGTCTCGGTCGGGTAAACATTTACGGTTTTTAGGGGCTGTTTACGTCACAATCTTCATCGACCGAATTTGTGCAGGCAGAAGGAGAACTTTCTTCGTTTTCTGTGTCTCATGGGCAAGTTGTGAGTAAAAACATATTTTGTTTTTTACTCACTAGCAGCTTATTTACACCGATTTGTTTTGTTTTTAGCGATAAATTTATTTTAGTCGCATCTCTTTAGTCACCCCCCTACCCCGCCCTGTGTTTACACTTTTCAGTTTCTCCGTTTTGATTATTGTCGTTCCAACGAATCTTTCTTAAAGAAGTGTGGGACGAAAAAGAAATGTGTGTGCATGTGTGTGCGTCTTTGGGTCTACCTATACGGATTACCTAGTTTTTCATAAACTATATATATATATATATATATATATATATATATATATATATATATCCATATATATCAAGTATATGATTGGTGTATACGGAATAAATTCCTATAACCAAATATACTATTCTTAAAAGTGTTCAATACAGAGTAGAGCAAATATAATTATTTATTCGAAAATTATAACATAAATATGTTCTAAAATCACTACAAAAATAACCATTTTGTTTCAACACTTCTGGTGTCTTATCAAGTGATGGTTTTGAATGTAGAATAAAGTGTTTTCTTTCTCTTTATTCTACATTCAACACCATCACTTGAAAGACACTAGAAGTGTTGAAACAAAATGGCTATTTTTTTATAACGTATTTATGCTATAATTTTCGAATAAATTATCTATCTATCTATGAAGAAATATAGTTTTAAGGTGTGCTATATTTATGGGATAAATATCAGAGATAGAGCATATGCAAATATAAATATAAAAATGAACATTGAAGTCAACACTCAGAGGCGACAGGCTGTTTCATACTAGACGCTATTGTCAGGCGGCCTGACGATTGTGTCTAGCATGAAAAAACCTGTCGCCTCTGAGTGTTGACTGCGATGTTCACTTTTATATATATATATATATATATATATGCATACTTATTATTCACACACACATGCACACACACATATATATATATATGTGGTGTGTGTGTGTGTGGTGGGGCTTATGCATAAATATATTTTTATATATACTCCTCTATCTATGCCTGTGTATCAGTTCAAGAAGGAAATATTACTGAAAACGGTTTCCCATACAAAGACGATCGTGGCAATGCCCTTAAAGATTCCATGGCATAATTGTAACACTTGTGTATGCTGATAATTTTTTTAGTGAATCGGAGATCCCACGGGAATTGTTTTGGAAGTTGATTCATATTTGAAAAGAGACGATGACAACAACGATGGGAATATGCTACAAATTTAGAGAGAGAGAATGGGGGAGAGACAGAGGGAGAGAGAGAGAAAAAAAAGAAAGAGACAGAGCCATGAATAAATAAATAAATATACAATTTTATCTGCACTGTCTAAGTATTAATGACTTAAATTGATCCCGAACTCAAGTGAAAAGGATGTTGAAGTAATATGTTCTTTTTATCTCTCGCCGAAGCAATAATAACTTGTAACTCAACTCAGCGGAAAAAAATTGGTTTCAACCTCAAGGAAGACAAAGCGGAGAAAACACGTTTTCTGTCAGAAGCAATGGAAAATTAAGAGATGTTTTTTTTTTTCATCAAAAAGCTCGTGGGCAAACGTGGAGTAGACGCCTTTGTTTTTTATTTTTCAAACAGTGAAATCAATGTCTACCGACTTAGAAATCAACAGTTGTACAAAAGAAAATTTGTTTCCCGACAAGTAGGACTTTCGTTCTCTGGGAGAGTAGACATTGATTTCACAGTTTTAATATCTTAAAGTAAAAAGACGTAAATGTAAACTCAAACGTGTGTCCACTATATATAGCATTTATAGTAAAAAGAAATAATCTCGGATTCAAAACAAAAATAAATATCAATATCTCTCTCTCTCTCTCTCTCTCTCTATATATATATATATATATATATATATATATACTATGCAATGTTACATTAGAACTTGCACATATCCACTACAAAACTTTACATCTTGTTTCAACGTTATTTTTTTTACGTTTCATCAGGTGGGAAATCACGATGCTACGAACATATTTTATTCCGAAAACCTGAATAAACCTTTTTTCGGAATAAAATATTTTAGTAGCATCGTGATCTCCCGCCTGATGAAATGTTAAAAAAAATTAACGCTGAAACAAGATGTACAGTTTTATAGTGGGTATGTGCATGTTCTAATGTAACACTGCATAAGAAATAAATATTTATTGCTCTGTTTTTGTATTGAACCCTGTTTTAAATTAATGTTTTGAATGCTGAAACTTTACTCTATTCTTTTTACATTTGTATATAAATATATATATATATGTGTGTGTCTGTGTGTGTGTGTGTGTGTGTGTTTGAGTAAATGTTCTCAGATGGAGTGAAACCGTAGCAGAGACAAAATGAATAAAAAGCGACAAGAGGAAAAACTATACTTAACTGACGCGTTTCGTCCTCCGAGGAACTTTATTAAGGCAATCAGAAACGCCTCAGGCGGATATAGCTTTTCCTCTTGTCTATTTATATATATATATATATATATATATATATATATATATATATATATATATATATATATATGCTTAAGATCAAATGTAGATCAAATATCGATCAGAATCCGACAGGAGGATAAAATAAAAGAACAAGTAGGAAACATATATCAATCTACCATATTTCACAGTTTCCTCTCTATCTCTGACAAAGCTTTATTAAAATTGAAACATCATTAAATTGATGTACGTTTTCTATTTGTTCTTTTATTTTATCATAATATATATATATATATATATATATATATATATATATATATATACTTTTTCACCCATTACAATAGATAAATCATTTTTTATACATCTGCTTACAGTTTAATTATATGGAAAGTATCTTTATTCATTAGTTGTAGATGCAATAATTTAAAAATTTGTAATTGTATGAATATCCCTCCCATCGTATATATATATATATATATATATATGAGTTGAAAATCAAATGTAGATCAAATATGGATCAGAATCCGACAGGATGATAAAAGAAAAGAACAAATAGGAAACATATATCTAACATATTTCACATTTATTAAAGCTTCGTCAGAGATTGAGAGAAAACAGAAAAAGACATAAAACACTGATATTTTCAATTATGTTTGGGTCAGGTCTCTTTGTATAGGTTACCCGTTGTTTAACTACAATTACTCTTTCCATTAATATAATCTCTATGTGTTAAATTCGTTAAGTTCAATGAGAAGACGTATTATTTGTAAACGTTCAACATGGCATTCTCTTAGTATTTCACCGACAAAGAAAATCACCTTACGCTTTGTTTCGAATCTTGTTCGTGTCGGTATGATCAATAATTAGGAAATGCCCAGTGTACTTCCGCAAGGGAACTGAAACCGAAATATTATCACGACCAGAACAGAAATCCATGATTCTAAACATATAATCCCATGACTGGAACACCCCATATTCCGGCGAGTGGCACTTGACGCCGAATGTTTTTATTTATTTACACTACAGCTAAAAAGTTTAAGCCGCACCCAGAATTAGCATGGGATGAATTTGACAGAGTGAAAGAAAAAAAAAAAAAAATGAAAAAGAGCTTTTAGAGTCACTGAAAAAAGAATAGAATCAATTATCAAACTCATACTTTGAGAAACTTTTGCAACGTAATTTGGCTGCTCTAATCAACAGGAAAGGGGGATATTTTGACGAGAGCAATATTTAATCATAAAATGTCTCATGTCTCACTTTTATTTTTTAACCATGTATAATAATTTTCTCTTATTTAAAGTACAAAACAACTACTTTTGGGGCCCAATTTAAAAAATGACCAGAGATGGCCTCAAACTTTTGAACAGTAGTATATATGCTTCACTTTCCTTTTACTTGCTTATTTACAGTTATTAGCATCTTTGAA